GGGGGCAAGAAAAACCGATGGACGCGGGGTACGGGGGGCGGGGGGGAGGGGGCAAGGCGGACGGGGACGAGCGCGCGGCTAGGAACAGGTGAGTGGCTTGAGTCACTGACACCGCTTTCCCGTGACGTCATTCAGTGCTTTCCTCCTCTCCGCCAGCTGAGAGCGGGTAAACAAGGGAAAGCAACGTGTATTCTGAATTTCTGAATGAGGTTTGGATATCTTCGATCAGAATCAGCTTAGGTGCACTTGACGTTGTCTGATCTCCTACTGCGATTTATTATTTTCCAGAAAACTAAGACTGTTAATAACTTAAAGAATTTTGTGGATTTTTATTTGTGGATTATGTAAAATATATATAAGGTGATCCAAAAGCTCCGCACCACCCATATAACCCCCATAGTTCTTGCCTCTTTTCAGAAGGATCCCCATCGGTCAGTTGTGATAAACGAGACCCTGATGGGAAAAAGAAATGGGGGTGGCTATTTACACGAATCATGATATTTTCTTAAAGTCAAGAGTCGAGAAGACGTTAAAGATGACTTAACATTTTAATTTTGACATTTCTTCAGCGTCTTCATTTTAGAGACTTTCTAGGGCACTCTGAACAGGAGTGATGTTGAAAATTTCGACTTCAGAGTGGGTAAAATTGCATATCCACGAAATGAAGGAAAACGTGTTCTCTTTTTGGTTGACTCGGAGACTTTAACGCACGAGTAAAAAGGTTGGATGGGGCGAAACGCGTGATACAACTATTTCAACTTTGAAGTAGATAAAATTGCATATCCACGAAATGAAGGAGACCGTAAACTCTTTTCGGCTGACGCAGAGACTTCAATGCAGAATATATTGACCACGAGGGGCCATTTCAATCCCTCTTGGTTTCTAATTTTTGAACCCTTGTTTTTTTTAAGAGAGATATGGATATTTTTAAATGCAATCCCTCAATCAAAACCCATGTAAAAATGAAAACTCTCCCATAGAGAAATAATTTTTGACTATCCGACTTTTCTCTTAAATATTACCGTTACTTCTTAGAAACGATTACCAAGAATTATTGCAGCAGTACAACTGCGTCGATTAGATTTCTTCTGATTCAGTACGTTTGCCCTAAAAATCGTTAAATTTTTAAAAATCACCCACAGTTATTTTATTTTTTTTTCCTCGCGTGTAAATAAAATGGTACCTACGATAAACTACAAAATTAATCCGGCATTCTTTGCAAATCATTGCGCTTTCGTCTAATTCCAGGGAGCAGGGACCCGAAGGGTTCAGGCAACATCGAATGGGTGTTCCGATAAGGCGTCTTGGTTAGGTTGTTGCACCTGTTACCACAGTCACAAAATTGTCTTGAAGAGACCGTATTTCTTAGCTTTCGGTAGACGGAAGTTCGCATTTCCTGCTGAATCTGGCAACGGAAAGTTGATACAGAGTCACCGAGAGGCGAGTATGCGGGTAGCAAGGTGACCCATTCGCCACTCGTGCTTGACTCACCGAATTTTCCTGCGAATAATGATCGCTTATTTTGAAGAGCTGTATCGTTCACCGACTTAACGAGGGCGGAAAACAGCTTTTCGAGTTTTTTTCTTTATACCACGGAGGTGTTTGAGATAAATTGTTTGGACCTTTCCTACCTCCGCCTAAAACACCTTCCCACTTTAAGAACAGCAAAGAATACTTCAAGAACACCCAAAGAGGAGTTTCAATTCACGATAAAAGGGAGAAAATTAGTTGAAATCAAAAGGAGACCGGGATAAAGAGACCATTAATATCAAGAAACTTCCCAAACTTCAAAACTTTCATCAAACAGTTATTGGTTGATGCATAGATTTTATCGAGATGGACTTTATATGCTGAAGAACGTGCCAATTTCCCGTGTTCAATTCCATGTCCATTGTCCAGTATATTGCGAGTGATCTGAGTTGAGCTTACCTTTTGAATGGCAGTTTGGAGAGGTACGCCCGAGGATTTGACTAGTTCTTCGGTGAGCGAAGATTCGGAGACCAGCTGCTCTGATAACACATTTTCGTTGATATCCGCAACAGTTGGTTTCACTACATACTGCTGAACTCCTATCACCTGAAACAAGCAAATAAAATTCGAACGTTATTTGAAGTTGCAAAATGATCCAATTGTAAAAAATACAACATGTGTCCAAACCACTCATGAGCTACTCTCACGATCAATGTTTTTCTTTTTTAAAAAAAATACACACATGATAAAGTTAGATGCCTATATTATAGCATATACGGGTTGATTCTGCATCCTTTGGCGCAAAGAAAAACACACAAATCTGATAATTGACCCTTTATTTTTAAACAGCAATTAAAAGTTTGGTGGAAAAAATGGGACGTTCCAGAAAATGAATGTTGAAGTTTTACGGCGCTGTTGCCATTCTTTGAAACGATTTAGTTTCATAACATCATTATTGATACGAATTATCGCTTGAAACTTCGACCAAATGTTCTCAAGAGCATTGGGAACTGTTTAAAATCGATTATGGAAGATGAAAATCGATGTTTTTGACCCTAGACTAGGTTTTTCGCTGCAGTAGACGAGTTGAGTTGAGACGAGGTATAGTCTACTTGACTTGATCATTTAAACATATTGCACCAGCACCAAGTTTAAAATCAGTCAACACTGACCTATGCGTTCCTCGAAACCCTCCGTCGATTTGAATTCGGCTTAGCGCCGTTTTTAAAATAAATGCAATCTGGACGCATCCGAGCAGAAGACCTCGGTTCCAAATTAATTTAAATACCTAGCTAAAAGCTGAAAAGACCCGAGCTGTCTCGAGCGTTGAGCATCTAAATTTTGACGATTATTCAACGCGGGCTTGGTCAAGGAGAACGGCTTAAGAGCCGTTCCGATACATAAATTTCGGGCTGCAACATGCGCGAAAATCGGATTACGCTCGGGAGACAACTGGTGCGTGATGTGACTTATTACCCGTAATTATGATCCGATCAATACTTGAAAAATGATAGGAAAATTCTATTTTCCTCGTCGACAACCTTCGTCGGACTAAGTCGGTCTTTGAGACCCGAGTTTTTCATCAAGACGAAACTGTAGGAGAGAAATGTCATCTGAAGAGTACGAAAAAAAGAGAGAACGAGAAGACCGATCTAAAGAAGAAAAATACGAAAAAAATAGATTTTTTTTCATTTTTCTTCTTCCTCTTTTTGGTGTCATATATTTTTTCTTACCATTTCTCCTCTTTTTACCTGTTTTTTTTTCTTCCCTCCTCTACCTCCCTTTCCTCCACCATTACTTCTTCTTTCTCCACATTTTATTCTTCTTTCCCTCTTCATCCTCATATTTTTCTCATTAATCATCCGCCACATCGTCCCCTTCTTCCATTTTTCTTCTTATCTTCATTCCTCTTTTTCTTCTAATTCTCTCCAATAAGATTTTTAGTCTGACTTACGCGTCCTCATCTGACGTATAATCAACCTTAAGTCTGTCAGACTGACAATAAGGTTAAATCGCGAGACTAAGCAGCAATGCCGTCCAGTGGCGTGGCGTGCTTTGCGATATATCGATTAATTTGTCAATTGAACGGATGGAAAAGTATCGATTAACAGAGTGTTCACAGCGAACACCTAAATAATCGATAATTTACCACAGTTTCAAATGGGGAACCATCGATACATCGCAGAGCACGCCACGCCACTGATGCCGTCATCCGTGGCCTCCCTTATCACGGCTGGTTTTTCGTCTGATTTGAATTCGGCAGCTCGGATAATTGAACTAGATCACACAGATTAAAACTGGCGGAGAATTCTTTCGACTCACAATCAGCTCGGCTCTTCAAGCTGACGCAATCTCCAACAGCGCACGCAGCGCGCCAACCACTCGACTCGGCTGCAGTTTTTTCTCCTTCTTTCTTTTTGCAGAAAAGCCAGCGCGATAACGAGTCGTTTTAACGGTGGACAGAAATTACGAGTCTTAATGAAGTTTCTTCACACTCAATTATTCAAAACTAATTAGGAGGGAAATTAATGATACAGAAACGGATAGGAGCAGATCAGCTTCAGCGATTGCAGGAAAGGTGCGCGCGGGCTTTACCTCACAAGTCGTTTTCAATGTTGTTCCATACGCGGTGCACAGCAGAAGTTCTTCTATGAGGTATTACATCTGTTATTCGTTTTCCTAAGCACGAAAATTAACGGGGGAAAACGAGTAGTTCATTTGAAATGTCAGATGAGGACGAATTAAAAATCGAAAAGAGGAGAGGAAGAGAAAGAAAAAGGCAGGGAGAACAAGATGGAAGCGACTGGAGAAAAAAGAGGGCGAAGAGAAATAAGAATAACATGAACAAGTAGAATAAAAAGAAGTTCATGATGATGAAGATGAAAAGGGAGAAGAAAATAGAAGAAGCGAGAGAGGAACAGTAAAAATTATCTTTCTTCGTCTTTCTTCTCTCTCCTTCGTGTGCCTTTCACCTCTTTCTCATTCCTCTCCTTCTTCAAGTCTTCATCTTCCATCCTTTTTCTTTTTCAATTCTCACTCCACAACTTCTTTGACCTGTTTTACCTTCTTCCAGGTTTTCCAAAACGTCCCGATCTGATACATTTCAGGTATACCGAGCTATTAACCTTCGTTGTATCACAGACGAAGAGAAGTGACTCAATTCCAAAGTTGCAAAACTCATTTAAGAACTTCAATTTTTTAACAGACATATGACAGCGCGTTTTCCGTCAAAAATTCTGGTGATTTTTGGTTGCATTGAGAGGAATAATTGGCGAAACTTTCAGTCTGGGACACCAAACAGTTTTCTACCAGAAGTTCAATTTAAGAGTGGAAATTTTGCAACATTGAAATACGGGTACGTTCAGTCTTTCGTCAAAAAAACGACGACCTATGCTTTTGCAGACTTCTAAACATGATGAGTATGAATTTGTTGATTGATTCGATCTAATTGTATATCAATATCAACCTTAATGTCTAAAAGACTTCAAAGGATCCGAATATTTAGATAGAATTGACACACTACATCGACATTGACATGAGACGATTCCGGCATGGAGGGATGATCGCACGACCCCGAATTCGTTGACAGACTTATGATTATCGAGTAAGGTCCGAGCGCGAATGTGACCTAGATAGGAAGCGAGCCTCAGCGCCGCCGCGCGCTCGATTCAGGAGCATGATCCGGTAAAAAAAGGCCATGCGACCGGAAGCTCGGTGGGCTTCCGGCTGATCAGTAATTCGCTGTCGTTTCTTCAGGATCCGATAATTTTCCGCTTACATCCGACATTAATATTCATGAATAAAGCACGTAATAAAACTAATTAAATAAATTAGGCTGCACATAACCGAATAAGTCGGCAAAAAAGTGGATTACATTTCACAGCCATTGACACGGAGAGTGTGTGAGAAAAGGGTCATGATTTCTCTTCTCACTGACGCACCGCATTGGTCCGATTTGGACTCCTTTTTTCGGTGCTTGACACAGTGAACGGTTTTTTTCTGCATCCTTTGACGTCAGCGAGAATTGAATGTTTCAGTGACTGAATATTGCACCCGTTGAAGCTGATATAGTCAAAGCTGTCATTTCGTCAAATGCCTCTGAACAGGTGGCAAAATTTTGGGAACTGACAAAACTTTGAAAATATTCAACTTACTGCTCTCGATTTTTCGATATTTTGAACGTATACGTCGATCAAACTACAATTTTTTCGGAACATTTGATCGATTGTAAAGTTTTCCATCAATTATTTTAACGGCAACATTTTTAGTTGCCATTGCATGTATTTTGTGAGATATCAAAAAATTTTGTTCGTTCAAGCGTTGTGGCAATCATTAATAAAAATCACCATCAGAAGATTGTACAAAAAGATTTCAAGTAGAATCTCATAAAAAAAAAAAATCGGCGATAGATTTAAAACTTTCAATATCACAGAAAATAATGAACTATTTGCCTAAGCATTTGACAAAACGCCTGATTAAAGGTTTGACCTTCGGCTTATTGCTTGCTAATTCGCCGGATCATATAAATCAGTTGATGAAAATATAAAATTCTCTGATTTTTCCGTCAGGAAACTCTATGCGAAATAGGTGTCTCGAATTAATAATGTTAGGTCAATAGTGATCCGAAAATAACGGTTGACTACACATTTATAGATTAGAATAACTGCTTAGTCATTGGAACACTTGGTGGACGACATGATGTAGGTACATAAAAGGTGAAATGGACTAATTTTATTTTTGAAGACGCTTGAACAATGGGAGGCAAAAAAAGAGATCCCATTTTCAATTTTCTTGTGCGGAAATCAATGAGAAATTATCATCGAGTTCAATGACATTTGTTTGAGGTCTCGGGAATTGTCATTCTCGTGTCTCTAGACAGATGAGCGCGCGAAATCTGACCCTAAAAGTGAGTCAGTTTGAGGGGAGACGAAGGTTTGCTTGACAAGCACTTATTTTTTGCATAAGCTGCCAAGTAACAAAGGAAGTGTGAACATCGCTTTTTCACCTCTTCAGAAAACGGATCACACAACAAGTCCATGTACTTTTTGCGTGAACCATACATCAATTTTAACAAGTGTGTGTCTGGTCCTAAAGGCTCGCAATCAGGTTGAAATGAGGTTGGTGTGGAATGCATTCAGCAAAAATAATGTTATAAATGCCAAGCAGTATGCTCTTTCGGTTCTACTTTGTTAATTTTTATTTTTCTTTATTAGATTTAATAAAACCTACATCGCTCGATGCCAGTAGCTAATGTATATCAAATTCTTTAATTCACGTTTGCTTATGAACTTAATTTGTACAATTTAACATCAGACATTTTGCACCGCCTCATGCTGTCAAGTAAACTCAACCTTACCTTCCTGACCACTGATTTATGATTACACGCATCTTGTCTTCAAAAAATTCCACGGTTTCCGAAATCAAAATTGAAAAATCCCCAAATATTCAGTCGCTTTTGGGCAGAAATAAACCTCTGACAATTTTTCCACACAACAGAGCGAAAATTCCGCATGATTAACACACATTTCCCGATTTCGATGACGTATTTCCAGGTTTTCCCTGATATCGAAAAATTCCCCTATGATTCTTAGTTTTCCGAGTTGCTA